TAGTGATAGAGCGCTTGCCTAGCATGTGTGAGACACTGGGTTTGATCCTCAGCGCCACATAAAATAAATAAATAAAATAAAGGTATTGTGTCCATCTACAATTAAAAAAACATTTTTTAAAAAAGGATCTCTTGGGGCCAGGGTTGTGGCTCAGAGGGCAGAGTGCTTGCCTAGCATGCATGAGGCCCTGAGTTCGATCCCCGGCACCACATAAAAATACACAAATAAAATAAATGTATTGTGTCCATCTACAACTAAAAAAAATGTAAAATGTAACTTTAAAAAAGGATCTCTTGGGCTGGGGATGTGGCTCAAGTGGTAACACGCTCGCCTGGCATGCACTGGGCACTGGGTTTGATCCTCAGCACCACATACAAATAAAATAAAGATGTTGTGTCCACCGAAAACTGAAAAATAAATATTAAAAAAAAATTCTCCCTCTCTTCTCTTCCCTTCTTTTCTCTCTCTCTCTCCCCCTCTCTCTCTCTTAAAAAAAAAAAAGGATCTTGTTAAAATCGAGGGGAGACCAATAGAGTAGTGGAAGGGGATCGAGGGAGACAGAGGAGGGGATGGGTAAAGGAGGTTCTGGGGAATTAAATTAACCAAATTGTGCTATGTACATATAAAAATATATCACAATGAATTTCACTTTAATGTATAATTATAAATGCACCAACTTAAAAAAAAATGGAGGGGAGACCAACAGAGTAGAAGAAAGGGATCAAGGAGAAGGAGGAGGGAAGGTTCTAGAGAATGAAATTGATCAGTTTATGTTAGGTGTTTCTACATATTTCACAATGAATGACTCTTGCTATTAGGGATAATCATAATGTACCAACAAAAACAAAAACATTGAGGTGTGGGCTAGCAGTATAACTCAGTGGTAGAGTGCATGTGCAAGGCCCTGTGTTCAATACCCAGTTCCAAAAAATGAAAGTCTGAACCAGTAGTCTTCTTGCCTTATGCATATCACGTGGGTTCAGTTCACTATACTTCTGTGCTCCTCCCTCCCAGACTGGTGAAGTTCATCTGTATTGTGGAAGTATCAGAGGAAGAGCAACATTCCAGTCAACATGTTGAACTGCTGGAGGAGTGTGGGAGTCTCGTCAGTGGTTGCAAACACTTTTCTAAGTTTGTAAACTTTGGATAAAGCAAATTATTTTCTGTAATGCATGGATCAATTATGTAAGGGAAGTTGAGAACTCAGCCATGTGTAAAGCTACAAATAAGATTGATGTGAAATTATAGTATGCTTATGATTTAAGACTCAAAAGTAGGATCCACAGCATGATAATGGATAGCAGCGTGAGTGTACTATTTCAGGAAAGAGAGGACTAAGAAAATAGGGAGATTGGTTGAGGGAAAGAACAGACTTTAGGGCTCTAAAGGTCTAAACATACCTTCTCTCTACCCAGTGAGATGCTCTGGATTCTCAGAAAAATAATTGATCTCAGAAAAATAATAATGATACAGTTATTGCTTGTTTTTCAATTACTGAAGAAATTTTAGAACTCTCAAGTAAATATAAAGAAATTAGAGTCCAAAAAGAAGCATCCATTTTAACTACAATAGTGGTTTTGATGTGCATCTGTACTTTATTATTTTTTATCTGATTCTATATTGTGGAATTAAGGGTTATGGACTGGGATAACAGGAAATGACATTTTCACTTTTTAACAGTCCAAGTGTCCTTTGCGTTAAAATACCACGTGAGTTACATTGATTGTAGTGACCATAAGATGTGAGCCTCTGGGAACTTTTGGTATAGAAAATAAGGTTAGATTGCAGAATGAGTGTGCAAGTGCCTCCTGCTCAGAGTGTGTGCACAGGACTGTCACAGAAGCACTGCTTGTTGCAGGTAGATTTGTATCAGGTTTAATGCACATACTTAGTTTCATCAGGAATTATCTGTTGGGCATCTACCATGCATAAAACTTGGCACATTCATACAAAGATGAATGTCAAGACCTAGGGGTTTTTTTAATATTTATTTTTTAGTTATAGGTGAACACAATATCTTTATTTTATTTTTATGTGGTGCTGAGGATCGAACCCAGTGCCTCACGCATGCTAGGTGAACGCTCTGTCTCTGAGCCACAACCCTAGCCCAAGACCCAGTTTTTATATTCAAAGTGTTTACAATCTAGTTAGGACATAAGATACATATACTGTCATAAAACAAGTATGCTTAAAAAGTATTATAGGGCAATACAAGGAACAGAGGCCTAGGGAATGAAAAATTCTTCGTGGGGAAGATGGAAGTTTTGCTTAAGGAAGTAATTATCCAATTGGACAGTTCCCAGCCAGCAGCACCTGCATCCTGGAACTTGTTAGAAATGTGAGTTCTCAGATTCCACTTCAGAACTTTGGGATCAGGAGCCCCAGGTGTTGGGCAGCAATTTGTGTTTACAAGCTTAAGTTTGAACATCACTTTACCAAGGAAATGGTGGCTGAAAGATGTGCTGACTGAATTTAGGGAGGAACAACAACTGGCACATTATAAGGTACATGAGGATGGGTGCCTAAATGAAGGGGACTGGTTAAAGGGACCTAGTGTTTTTTGTGCCATGTAGTTTAGTTTCTGTTTAAGAGAATTCTTTCTGAATGTAGCTAAATCCTTTTTTCATTTAAATGTCTTTTATAAGTACGTTGTCATTTTGATCTCTTATTATTTACAATGTTTGTACCTCCTGGATGAGGAATAAAATGTACATGTTTATATCATTATTCAAAGTAGAAAACACACATCATATTGTATATGATAAAAAATTCATATACAATAGATGTTTCAAAATAGAATTTCATGACTTTTCGTCAGATCCTAGGTAAATATCTGTTAGAGACTGAAGTTTTAAAACTAAAATTGAGTTTTTATACATAAAGAATGGGATGTATTCCCCTAGTACCTCTATTACCTATTTTATAAAATATAGGGTTTGGGGGCATTTTTAAGGCTCTATCTCTCTTTTCTCTTGTGGTTTTTAGGCCAGACCCTAGGTAGTTGGAAAAGTTGGTTTGGAGCCACACGTGAACCCCTTGTTAGGTGGGCACAGAATGTTGAGAGGAGGCTCTGCTCTCCCAATCACCTTGTGCCTAAAACTGAAAATATTTTTTAAAAAATGTTTTTTAAAGAGATGAGAGAGAGAGAGAGAGAGAGAGAGAGAGAGAGAGAGAGAGAGAGAGAGA